GTAGGATGCATCATGTTCCATACATATGACATTATTAGACATTTGAGTGAAACATTATTCAGGTTGAACCAGTCAGATTTATAACTTACATCACAATTCAGTTTTAACTGTCTCTAAACTGACCTATAAAATATTACAACTGAATGTGCTGTTAATTAAGAGTGCCATTAAACAAATGTATTTCACACCCCTTTAGTTAGCATAAAAACACAGAAGTAAATCAGTACAATTTACTACAAACCAAACTGTTGTCAGGTAACAATAATGAAATTGATTTGAATATTTACAGTAGCATCACACCTTCCCAAAGGGAGATACGAGGAAAGCTAGCCAATTCCGGGCCTGCACATAATACAACTGGGTGAGTCCAATTTGGAGGGAGAACAAAAGAAAAAAAAAAAAACACGAATTCCCCATTAGCCACCATCACCTCTCCAGCCACCCAGCTCTCTGCGAGAGAGATTTCTTCCTTGCAAGGAGGCCCACAGCCCTCCTACTCCCAGTTTCTCTCTGGCCTGACGCTTCTCCATATCTTGCATGCTTCAACTCACAGCCTTTACCTCTACTAGCTTTGGGAAACGGTATTGCTCTCAACAGAGCTGCAACACGATCAGGTTAGAACTTATTTGTTAATGCGTTCATTCTACTATTTATGCCACACTCACAAAAATGATCAGAGTGTCTTACAATAAAACATTACAACCCATAATATATGAAAAAACACATGAGCAACCGTTGACTTAGAGGACAACTGTCCTCTTGTTATATTCTGGAAAGGTAAGTGATTGCAGCTCTTTGAGGGAAAAGAGGCAAAGGAACTGGTTTTCCCCTGGGCTTAGTTAGAAATGGGCATGAAACAGGCATGACTTATCCACAGACTTTGGAGATTGGTTGTATAGGTCCAAGCCCCCTCTTTAGTTAAAATCTGGTTGTTTAAGTTGCATATTGCTTTAAAGGCTTAATCTTAGATTTCAACAGCAACATTGCTAAGCTGACTCTTGCCTGAGGTGACTTCTGAAAGGCTCATGGAAAATGTGCAAATTCACCCTGTAGGGCATATCCAGATTAGAATCCCCATCCACAGGCCCTGATCTTGTCAGGTGCAAAGCATAAGATGAGAGGTGCAGAAACTTGGAGCAGGTATGGACAATCAGTTTAAACCTAATAGTAACGGTATGGAAAGTCTTTTGGAGATAGTGAGACTGGTTGATATTTTAAAAATTACCAGTTAAATTGAAGATGGAGGAAAGGTTGGATTTACAAAGGACATAGTTTCAGACTAAGATGGAGTCTCTTCTACAAAGGATATAGGTATGCTAAGTTTTTACCCACAACCCAGAAACAGGGGGAGCTACTGAAAGACAAATACATTAGTCAACTACATCTTGGACAATCTCAGCAAAGATAATTAGAGAAGAATTTGCTGATAATCAGTTGCAAGTATATCAAGTTGTCTTCCATTAGTACATAGGGCATGTATTACCAAACAGTGGTGGTCTGGCAGACAGCATGTGAAGGAAAACATCATATTCACTTCTATTCACTCAAAACCTGCATCAACTCCAGACTATACTCACTTACCACCAACCAACTCAAGCTAATAAGCAAAAATCTTAGGCTTTTACCCTGAAGTCCTCAGGCAACCAAAGACATGTTAACCAGCCAACGTTCTTGAGGTGGAACAAGAGAACTTCAACCTAGTAACAAATTTTCCTCCATTTTTTATAGCGCTAGCCCAAATCAATGGTCACAGGTTCAAAGACAGCCAATCGATAATCTTGACATGTAACCAACACAGCTTCTAATCCTGCCATTTTTATGCTTAAGCCTATCTCAAAGAAAAGAAGCCTCCCTCTTCTCAAATGAACTGATCTGAAAACAAAAGTAGCTTTACCCAAAATACTAACAGGAGTGGAGGAGTTCTAGAATCACATATCAGGAAAAAAACCAAAACCTTAGTTCTTACCTTTCAGAGGGTTTATCATCTTCAAATTTAGACTTCATATGTCTCAAACTGTTCTAAAAACATCTTAAGTAACTAAGTATAATAATCCTGCATAAGACTCAATATTTTTTCCATGAAATAAACATTAGTTTTCACGTAGGAATAGAGCTCCAAGGACAAAATTATCACTTGTAACTTTGTAAAGAACTGGCTTTCTAACATTATCATAGTTCTTGCTTCAGAAGACTGATATAGAAGCCAACCTCAAACCCTTATTAAATCCCAGGTAACCATAATACATTTCTTGCTTGTACTGTAATGAACAGGAAATGCAGCACAACAATTTAACTTCTATACAGCTGGGAACTAGAGGTGCATCAGTCCATATTGTATTGGCACTGATCAAAGGAAAATTTACATTATCAGCAATTGGCTTTTTTGGCGGGATGTGACTGATAATGTCACCAATAAATGCCACATGCACGTGCACAGCCACAGCATGCACACGGCCAGGAATGCAGCCTGGCAGCTTGGAGAGCAGCATCTTGCTGATAAGTCTGTGGTGGGGAAGGGGTGTGGGGGGGCAGATAAGAGGCCCCCTTGGTGAGGGAGAGAGTGGGGCTGGGGTAGAGTGCAGGATGGAAGCAGGGGTTTGTTTGAGGTGACTCCAGCCACTGCATGCACTTCCAGGGAGGCATGGGGGGCACATATCCCCCAAATCTGTGTGCAGTGTGAGGGAGGGCTGCTGCATGCTTGGGGCCAGGGACTGCGCTGGGTTTTTCCCTGATAGCTGCACTCAGGCTGGGCGGGGGCAGGCCTGGTGGCAGCAGCACTGGGAGGTGGGCTATGGGGGGGACTACAGCCACCCCAAAATTTGCTGCAGCCCCCCCCTCCCAGCACCACCACCACCCACCCTGCCCAGTCTGGCTTCAACACAGTCGCTATGAAGAGCCTGGTGCAGTCCTCAACCCCAAGCACACAGCAGCAGCTCATCCTCACCCAACACAGATCCAGGGGGCACACAGCCCCCATACTTCCCCAGCAGTGTGCGTAGCAGCTACAGCCACCCCCCCTCCATCCCCACTGTCCTCTGGATGAGCCACTGCCTCTATCCCATGCCCCTTCCTCCCAACAGATTTACCAACTGGACATTTTTCTCCAAGTTGCCTGGGCTGCATATCAGCAATTGGATTGGTATCAGTCAATTTGGCTGGTCAATAACTGTACATCAATATTGGCCCAACATTTTTTTTTTTTTTGTAATCAGTGCACCCCTACTGGGAACAGCATAGGTTAAACTGGATTAAAAACAAAAAAAGTCTTCATGGAAGGATGAAACAGCTCAAGCAGCATATGCAGAACTCAATGAAAGAATGAAATTCAGAAATGTTTTATTCTGTTTAAAATGAACAAACAACAAACACAAACAAATAATCTGTTTTTTTTTTTAAGGATTTATACAAAGTTTTTATTTGGTTACATTTAAAAGGATGAACACCACATCTGCAACTTCTACAGATTATGGTAGCAATACCAAAAAAATTTAAATAGAGATTGGCTAACTGTTGCTCACTTTGTTTATACAGGCAGTGGATATCTTCATTAAAATCAAATGGGGTCTTTGGGAGATTGAAAGAAGCAGAATTTAATCTACTAACTCCAATCCAACAAAGATATATTCATATCAGTCCTGCTGATTTCAGGGAAATGAGTAACATGGAAAGTTGACATGCATAACTGTTTGCAGGATCAGGGCCCAGGATATTTGTTTTATATTTTTTATAAACTAAAAATGCATACAAGTTTTTTATTAACTGATCTTTTAATATGCTGCCTTTTTGTAAATCATAAGCACTGTTTCCATAAATGCCTTCAAGAAGAAAAACAAAAAAACCCCCGCAATATAAATTATTGCATATATTCCCCATATTTTCTGTTTAGTCAATTTTTACTGTAGGCATAGGAAGTCACTTAAGAAGAGAAAAGAAAACAGCACAGGTTAACTGTATACATCAGCTGACAAAACTGAAGTTTTCATTTTTGTAAGTCAGCATGCATTTCAAACAAATCAAGGAATCTTGATTTTTCACATACAGAGTATGTAAGGCAACAACATTGTGACACATACAGAATGTTTTCTTGGCACTAATTGTTATGCTAGATAAAAGTTGCTTAGCAATCTCAGAAACCCAAGCAATAATGCAAGGTTTTTATTGAATAAACCAATCGATGTGAAGCTCTTGTGGCAGCAAAAGCAAAAAAATGGGGTGTTCCCTTGTTGACCTAGCTCAGATATTCCCTTAAGAAATATATTGTAATTGAGAAGTGGGTCCTCACTGGAAGAGAAAGAAAACTTATGTGGGGTGACCTGTAAGCCCACAGTTTCTGTGACAACAGAGGTAAGATTATGCTACAAGCTGTGATGCAACAGAAAATAATTCCTTATATCTAATATATGCAACTCAGTTCATGAGTTGCTATATAGATTCATAGTCTAAGTAGGGTAACCACATGTCCCATTTTAGCTGGGACAGTCCTAGATTTGTGAGGCTGGTCCCTGCTGACAGTTGAGAATTACGATGGGCATCCTGGAAATGCAGGGATACAAGGTGCAGTCTGATCAGGAGTCAGAGTGGTGTAGAGTGCCTTACAGGTTGTCAGGCAGGCACTGCTGCCTGCCCAGCACACAGGCCTGTCTTTACCAATTTGTGAGAGCGCAGAGGCTGGGG